TTGTTGAATTAATCGGTTGAGGAAAAGAGCTAGGTTGACTCCTTTCTTCTATACAGCACACTTTATCTGCCACTTGACAGGGTAGAGGGGTGGTGATGTCCGGTTTTTGAGAAATTTGCTACGATATTTCGAGTTCACTAAAATGGACAAGTGAAATTATGACTTCACATTCACTCTTAATGCTGACCCTCACGTGGAACATTTTTAAAATTTATTTGTGTGTGCTTGCCTGCATGCATGTTGGTGCATCTTGTAGGTGGGCGCCTGTGGAAGGAGGAAGAGGGTATTCAGTCCTCTGAAGCTGGACTTATAGAGAGTGGGAACTAAAATGTGGGTGCTGGGAACTGAACCCATGTCCTTTGCAAGAGCACTAAGTGCTCTCAACCACTGGACCATGTCTCTAACTCTGCATTTCTTCTTTCTTAAGATTACAGAATCTTTTTCGAATTTATTTAGTTTCTAGTAGCATATAAACTAGCATCTTTACAGCGTTGCCACATGTGTTTGGTTTACACACACTCAATCACTCCTTTTAGTCAAAATTTCTATAAAATCAGTGGTAGAATGCCTGGCCAGCAAGCATGAGACCCCGGATTAGACCCACAGCACCCCCAAAGAAATTATGAAAACATCATGGATAGATATGACGGAGTATGTCCACTTCTGCCTTCATTCACTTATTTACATAAGTGAGCTACTGTAGTTCATGATATATTTATAATTTATAAGCACATAATAATATAGTTTATAATGTCATACTAAGTGTAGTAATACATAAACATAAGCAGATTGAATATGGACACTCATTTTTTTAAATCACTACAAGGTATTTGCAATTAAGATTTAAATACCACTGTTCTAATCATTTGACGCACACTGGCTGATGAGTCATTCTCAAAGGAGTTGCTTAGACGCATTTCACCCCTGGATGTCCCTTAGACCAGGTCTACTGGTCCTCAACAATTGGGGGGTAACACCTGAGAAAAACTTCAAACATTCCAGGTAGACAGGACAAGTAAGTTCCAAGAAGAAAGTGTGCTTGGAAGGCTGAATAAAATCATGGAGACCAAGAGAAGAGCAAGGACCAGCTCTGAAGCCATGACAAAATTAATTGTTAGTGAAAATGAACCCTGTCAGTGTCTCTAAACAGAATATGATGTTTTCATGTTTTTAGAAACATCACTAAATCCTCCAATCCAGCTTTGACCCAGAATGTATTTTTACCACCATCTGTTTGCTTTGCCTATGTCCCAGATAGTTTAAGACTAGGAAGAAAATGCTGAAGTATATAAACGTATCCCCTCCATTCAACAACACACACATGATTCTCTGACTTGATTCATTCTTCCTTAAGTCGTTCAGATTATCCTTGATGTTGTGTGTAGCTTCCCCTTTAAACCAGCTGTAATATTCCATCGTTTAAATAGGCCAAAATGAAGTCAGACATTCCCCTGTTGGTGGACATGAGTGTCTTTTTTTTTTAGTGTCCCGTTCATTACAGAACTCATGCCTCCAAAAGTCAGCTCTCATGTGTCTTACCAGCTCTGGTTTCATATGCTGGTGAAGACTGTTGAGCTACAGCTGTTCACACCTGCAATTGTGTTAGATTGTCAAATATTCTCCAAAGTGTTTCTTCGGTGTGTGAAGTTCCTGTTTCTCTACACCTTTGTAAGACCCAGAGGTGGTGGATGACTCAAGGAAAGAGGAAAGACAAAGCAGGGTTGATTCACATATGAACTCAACCGGACTGTGACAGCTTGCACAAGACCTTGCACAGGTTCAACCAGACTACATCCCAGCACCTGGAAGGGGAAGTGGACACGATAATCCATAGCCCATAACCAGAAGCTATCTGCAACTGACACATGCTGGAAAGGGATATTTTCTCCGATGGTATGTCACTGGGTATTTCAACCACAATCCAGATAAGGTTGCATGTCTACGAGTAATTGGCCAACACAAAATGGACTCCATAGTTTTTTGTTTTTGAAGTTGTAGTTGTCGTAGGAGGAGTTGCTGTTGTTGTTGTTGGAGTTGGGGGAAGGAGGAAATTATGATGAAAATATATTGTACAAAAAAATTTATATAATAGAGTTCTCCTCTAGCCTCATATTTCTAAACAGTTTCAGTTTTCCTCCCATGAATTAATGTTAGATGTCCATAGGAATGGGAATTATTTTTGTTGATTTGGTTCATTAATATGTATTTTATACATTTCTTTTTTATATTAAACTGTTCTGCATCATTAGAATTAATCCTAATTAATTATGATGCATTTTTATTTTGTAGAATGCTGAGCTGTAATTTGCTAGCACTCCATTTAATATATTTAATAGGTTATAATGATCTATAATTTGTTTCCTTTTTAAGTATTACTAGCTTCAAAGGATGATATACATATTTCTCTCCTTGTCTCCATAATAGTTTCTGGCATTTGATAGATCAATAAAACTCAGTCATAGTTACTGAGTATGGCAGACTCTTGGAAGACTCTGTGGGAGCAACAGAAATTTTTGAATTTTAATTGAAAGATGTGTTAATATCTGTCCTGGCTTTGGACGCAAATTTCCTAAAAGTCAAAATTTTCTTTGTGTTTACTGGTACTTTTACAACAGTCATCTGACCATCTGTTGGCACTCAGTGAACACAATATAAAAGCATGTGATGCACCCACAGTCAGATGCTGGCCACCTAGAGGGACTCTGATGTGAAATCCAGGGTAGTGCCCCATATATGATATGTGGTTTAATAAATGCAATATGCTATACAGTATTTGACATACAACACAGAATACCCCAGATATGATATATAACAGGAAATAAAGTATACAATAGTTAGCATATGATGTAGCTATGAACTATGACAACATAGAAGTGTTTTAAAGAGAAACGTCTTAACATTTTTACTACTGTCTCTGCAATTCCTTCAAAGCACAAAGCCACACAAACACAGAGAGGGCAGAAGAAAGAGCAAATCGAAGGGATGGGCCCATCCAATTGATAACCCAGGAAACACCAAGACCTAGGGCTCAGACAGGACGTTGCTAGCCCACCATGCCTTGCTGAAATTCAGAGTTTGAGGGGTGTCCGAGAGCCAGCTGCAGTAGCCTTTAGAGCTTTTGTGTCACTGTGTCACTACAGGCAATGCCATGCAGAGCACATCTCTGCAAGTCCAGGGACTTGTGACCTGCCTTTAAGAAGGTCTTGGCACACTGATGGAATGGCCTCAATAAGGGGACTCTATTAATGTCCCTTCCCTTCCCTACAAAACCCTACTGTGAGTCATAGAATCCATTAGCCGAATGGGTTCTCGGGAGGCCAATGCCTTGAAGTCCAAATGGAAAATCACCTACTGAAACCATAAACTGCAGGTGCCTTATTTAGACGCAGCCTCTAATTCAGGGCAGGAAGAATCGGCCTAAAATCAGGTCACAGTTTTGTTTGTGTGCTTTAAGTAGGCCATGTTTTCATCTTCTCTACGCTGGCCTCCTTCAATCTTAGACCATGAGTTTACACCTCTGATTGCTACTAGGATTCTATTTCCAGTCACTGCAACCAACTTTTGAGTAAGCACCAACTGGAACCCACTCACAAACTGTGATAGAGTTTTTGTTGATTTTTTTTTCTTCTTTCCAAGTTTTTATTTGTCCTGTTGGTTGGTTGGTTGGTTATTGTTAGGTGTGTTGTTTGCTTGTTTGTTGGTTGGTTTGTTTGTTTGTTTGAGACAGGGTCCTACCATGGAGCCCTGACTAGCCTGAAAATACTGAATTTTGGAAAGGGACGACTAAAAGGTAAAACTGTCTTAGAACCCACCCCCCCAACACCCTTCATCTGCTTGAGACCTAGTGAAAGCATCAGTGTCTCTGCACTCTGGAGCCCTCTTTAGCAGACTTTACATTTCCCCTTGTGGCAAATAGGAAGGACATGGAGACAAGGAGTACTCTCACAACGTGTATTTAAGTCCAGATGTCCTGTCTCTTCTCACCCTGCTTTTGTAAACAGAGCTCAGGTATGGATAAGTCTGGAAGGCAACCATGGCTGCATGACAATGGACTGGCATGCTGGCCATGTAACCATCTCTGTGCCCACACTACAGTCACACAGAGAGTCACAGGTTCACATCAGAGAGATAGGCCTCCACTCCGGCCTTCCATGAGTGACAAAGGAGTAAAAGCAGTCTGCTAAGAGGCCACACGGCGCTGAAATTTTTCAGTGTTCAACTTTACTGTATAAAACCAGTTATTCTTTGCACCAACTATTGTAAGACAAAATTATCATGCTAGACTCTGATGGGAGATGCGATTCTGTAAATATGTTTATCATACTGGTTTAATGAATAAAGCACTGTTGGCCAATAGGAGAGCAAGATAGGAGGGACTAGGGGATGAGGAGGAAAGAGGAAGGAGGAAGGAGGAGCCAAGATGGAGAGTCTGGAGAAGGTAGAACCGCCAGCCACCTCTCGCTGGTAAGACCACGTAGATATACATAGAAATGTGTTAATAATAAAGCGGAGCTAGCCGATAAGAAACTAGTACCTGGCCAATAGCATTATATCAAGTACAGAGTCTCTGTATGTTAATTGGGGCTGGCGCGGCGGCGGGACAGACCAGCGGCGGGAGGAAAAACCTTACTCCTTACAGGACTCCTTAAATTGTGACACATACAGGCACTGAAAAGCCATCTAGCACATGTTTCTAGCCTTGCCAATTGAATCTTTCCTTTATGTACATATCCACGTGCTTAAAGAACAAAGAGCTCACATGATTCTCAGACGTAGACTCGAGTTTCTATAGGAAATATCGTTTAAATGTCCTTCTTATTTGGGGATTTAAAACACAAACGATTTACAGTTACAATTTCCAAAATAAGCATGAAGGAGTAAATGCCAGGTCTTGAGCTGTGGGACACAGAGAGGACAGTGTAGGTGACATAGAGGACATTGCGGATGATGTAAAGGACAGCACAGGTGTGGCCCTAGGCAACAGGACTCTGCTTACTCACGTTTGTATGAGATGCGCCTCTGTCCCACAGGGTCACACTGCTCACAATGGGAATATAGCAAAACGACTTCTGGAAGACAAGGAACAAGGAACGGTGTCACTTCAGACTCCATTTCATCACCGAGAGATGAGTTTTAGGCAGCTCAGGAGCCGATTTATTCTAAGAATGGCCCTTTCTACTGTGGGTACCTGATAATACACAGAACACTAGCCCTGTTACCATGGGAACCGCAGCACATTCCAAATGCAGTTGCCACCGTTAAGAGTCCAGATGAAGCCACATGCAGGAAGTTTTAAAAATCCTCATGAATGACTTTGAAATTGTAGTGCTGGTGTGACATAAAGGAGGAAATGGCTCTTGAGATTTAATGAAAGGAAATAGAATTAAATTGGTACACCCTTTGTTATATGTTTTTGGCATATATCACCCACATACCCAAGGACATTAATAAATAAATACTCCTTCATAGAAGCATTAATTTGGAATTGTATGTTATGCAGAATTAACAGGAGTGAAACTTGGCTTGAGACAAATGTGCAATACGTATAATATGATTGCTCAGAGCATGCAGAGAAGGTAACCTGAGGACCTCATGATAGGAGAGAACCTTGACATTTTCCATAAAATGTCAGACCTTAATAAGATTCTATCAGGATTGGCTTTCTAACTTCTTGTTTCAATTTGATGTTTTTCATTTAGGTTAGTCACTGTGTTCAGAGCCCTTCACCCAGCATTTGCTAAACTCAAACCTGATACCTTGAGGAGCAGAGTGTGCAGATTCAATGGTGGTAGACCATGTGGACTAGGGAAACAGAAGTCTTCCTACTCAGCAATAATCAAGGAGATATCCTGAGATCCAAACTAAGACTGAAGGGTGTGAGAAGTAAAAGGTTAGGTTTAAAGGGGCAGAAAAATAATAAAACTCCAGAGTCTAGAGGAAATATATGGGGGAGTATTTCCAAGAGCCCTGAAAGAGGGTTATGAATATAGAGCTGATGAAGTCAAGCAAACACATCTTTTACATGGTAGCCCTGGTGTCAAGTATGCGCATGACAGACATACAACAAACAGGACTGAAGAGCACATGAGAGAAACAGGAAGAAATCCTCAACTACCACCATGTGCATGCTAAGTGAAGGGGTTAATTCAGATCATCCAACATAGTGAAGGGCCAGTGCAGCTTTCCCACGCCTGGGCTGGCCTGACTATTCAAGTCTCTTGAGTCAACAGGGTACATATGCAGCCTTCAGACCCCAGAAGTCTGTTTTGGAAAACCTGGAAACCACCTCATCTGTGCAAGAAGGAGGGTACCTGTTTAAAGACCATGAATGGACTTTGGGAGTCCATTCCACAAAGAGGGATACTTCCTCAGCCTAGACACATGGGGGAGGGCCTAGGCCCTGCTCCAAATGATAGGACAGACTTTGAAGACTCCCCATGGAAGTCTGTTCTCTTGGAAGCAGAAAGGGGATTGGATGAGGGTTGGTGGGAGAACAGGGGAGGACAGGAGGGTTCGGGAACTAGGATTGACAGGGAAAGAAAGAAAGAGAGAGAGAGAGAGAGAGGGTGGGAGGGGAGGGAGGGAGGGAGGGAGGAAGATCAGATGAAGTCAGATCCAAGTCCAACATGCATCTCAGTACCCTCCTCAGTGAGACCTCTGCTCTGTACTCACTCCAATCATGTATGTTCATGCATCTGAGGTTTTCCAACTAGGTAACCTTTACCTGAGGTGGACAAGACCCTTAGTGCACTGTTCTGACATGGAGATTTCTTGGTACCACTGTTACTCTAAAGATGGGGTGTGTCAGATGTCTTCACACATAAAGGTTTGCACTTACTTGAGGGTTAGTGACTGAAAGAAAGTTCCCAGAAGGCCACAAAAAGCAGCTGGCCTTGTGGAAACATTTGCGAAGTGCTTGGGTATCAACAATGCTAAAAGCAAATACTTGCTCTGCCCCTGGGATTGGAACAGAAAACGGAAACCAGGAGATAGCTTTTGAAATCCCTGGTTAGGTCATTGAACTGCACCAAATAAAAAGATGCGCCTGCTATTTCTTTTAAAAGGTGTAGTCTGATTATGAGAGAAAAAAATGTCATTTGTTTCTAGACATAACATCAAGATATTAAGCTCAAAACACATTAATTAACTCACTTAATTGAACCTCCTTTTATAGACCCTAGACTGCCCACTTAGTTGACCTAATAGGGAGTGTTTCATTTGAAGTTTCCTTGGTCAGCAAATTGCTTCCTGACTGAGATAACACCCATCAGTGAACCATCACATCATTTCTTTCCCTCTGCAGTAATCCTGAGCTTTTCCTGAGTCTTTATGGCTAAACGTGTTCATATGTCAGAAAATTCAGAGAATCTGCTGTTGACGCAGCCATTACTGATGGATGATTCTTACATTTTAACGTCCAGCAGTCAAGTCACCTGGGGCTCACTGATTAAAAATGTGCAGGCCAGCTTAGGGGGTCTAGTGTGGGACCAAGATCCTGCTTTTGTATCAAGTTTCCTGATGTTATGGTTCCTGTAGAACATATTGCTGAATCTCTATCTTTACAGTATTTATTGTCTTAAAGAGGCCAGGAATGGTTGAACGGGCCTTATAATCCCAACACTTTGGAGGCTGAGGGAGGAGGATTGCCAAGAATAACCTGTGCTGCATAGGTAGCCACCAAGAAGTCAGCTGCGGGTTATTTAGCAAGACCTATCTCAAAAACAATAAATAAAGAGATTAAGACTAAGGCTAATTGAAGCCTTGGAAATAGAGTCCTGGAAAGCATAGTGGACCAGGAATTAAGCAATGTTCATTAACAATGAAATATAAAGACATGATCTAGCCACAATGTAGTGGCTTTCCGGTTGTTATAACTATGCCCAACATGTTTCCGATTGTCTGGTTATTGCAATTGGGAAAATTATTGACTCACACTCCAGTGTGTTCAGCACACCCTCTATGGTATGCCCCAAGAGGTCCAAGCCCAGCAGATCAAGACCCTGACTGAGAGTGAGTGCAGCACAGGAGGTACTCCTCTGCCACACAAAGCAGAAACATGAATGAGTATCAAGGGCCACTTCTTGAAGGATATGTCTGTCAAGAGCCAAATGTCCTTAAGCCAAATTCAGAAGCAGAGATATCAGATCTCGAGGCAAAAGATGAAGTGAAATGGTGATGTCAGGAAGCAGGGACAGGAAGTCTTGATGGGAGAGTGGTCTGACCAGGTGTTGGCTGCTGATAGTGACAAGGATAGTTTTATCCCTGCCACGGCTCCATTAACCAAGGTACTACTTGCCGCCTGCTGTTTTTATCAAGATTTATCTTGGAGATGAGAAACCTGAAATCTAACCAATTTCACTATATCCCTAGGCAATCTCATTATTGAGCAGTTGGGATTCAAGGTGAGTCTGCTTATTTGCAAGACCTTGTTATGCAAGATGGTGCCCTGGCATCTTGATAAGTGCGTGCTTCAGGAGATCTAGACCATGAGGCATGAGATAGCCTGTGAAAACGGAAAAGACCGATACTTCATGTCCAAACATCCCACTCTACTTTTCCCCTTCCTTCAACTAGTACTCTGAATACCTGAGTACACAGAAAAATAATTGAATCCAGTCACATAGCAATCTAATATTTTATCAGCCGTGGGCAAACTTCTTGTTAGCAACAACTGTTTGAACCTTTTAAATAACCATAATTTTATTCTCAGTTATTCTTTAAAGTATCTACCTTTGAAAGACCTCGCCTTTTGAAAGTACAGTCAAACAAGACAGGGACACTGAGCCATGGAAAGCACTGACAAGACCACAGCTAGCCCTACGGAGCTTTAATGAACTTTAAAAGGAAAAACATGGCACCCTCTTTTGGCGGACAGAGCCTGCTGACAAGATTAGGTTTTGTCCATAAATGTCATTGATGTAGATCAAAACCTTCCAACCTCACACAGTGGTTGACTGTCACTGACTTCAGCCATGGAGTGTAATAGTGAGAGTCAAAAGTACATTCCAGAATGATCGGGAAGTGGAAATGTGAGCTGTGCGCAGTCCACGCTACTTTTGGGAGCCCCACTTTGAATGAGCAAGAGATAAGACAGAAGCCAGACAGGGCAATGGGGTCAAGTATTGACTTTATTCTAGAGATACCTAGAAAATTGTAGAAAGAGAGATAGGGGGTTGTAGAGGTGAGGAGGGAGGCTTAACACATACAATGGTCAACTTTAAATCCAAAAGTGCCAGTTCCAAGATCTAATCCTCTCTTTGAGGAGAACAAAGTCATCTAGGTTAAATGATTCTGAGTCTCAGCAGAAGTAAACCTGACTCCCTCTAGATAAACTTATAGGCTCCAAGTTGAACAAAATCCTTTACTTTTTGTGTGTGTGACGTGATTATAAATTCATTCCTCGGTTGTTAATTGTCAGCCACTGATTCCAGAAGCCCAAGACACCAAAAGAAATTCTATCAAAATAACATTTTATAACTTTTTTTTTTTTAACTAAAGCATCACCAGGAGACGGGATGCTTATTCAACTTTGGATACCCATGACCAACTATGCAGAAGCAACAGTTGAATATTCTTTGTTACCAACTGTTTAAATAGTTCTCTATCAAACAGCACTAGCAAGCCTCTACAAAGCCTTTGGCTGCTAGAAAAATGCAAGAAATGAACAAATATTTATGTGCAGCCAAACACCAGCAACTCCATTGTAAGTCAGTGATGATCACTTTTCCGGTGTGGCTAGATGCAGCAGGCACACAAAACAGAGCCTTTGCAGGACACTGAGGGGCTGGTAGAGTGGATCACACATTCTGCCTCCTCATGTGGTTTCCATCTCAGAAGAATCATTGAATTTCCAGGAACCAGCCAGAGTCGTCAAAAGAAATCACAAATCCTTAACTAACGTATGCTAACTTTTCTTTGAGGAACAAAAGAAGCATCTTTGTTTGTTCCTCACCAGCAAACACACAGCCATCTCAAAGACACCCTTTCACTGGTCATGTTAGCAGGGAAATTCAATTGTATTTAATTAAGTTCACCCCCCCACACACACACAAAAAAAAAAAAAAAAAAA